TTGATCCGATCCATCGATGAGTCTTGGAACAATACTCTTGTTTGTCGAAGTGGCCCATCGATATAGGTTATCGCGATGCTTCCAAATGACAACGTGAGTCAGTGAATGAATCATCGTAATCAAAATTTTTCACGCAATGCAAGCCGAGTTTTCGTAAATTTATTATTAAAATTTATTATTTAAATTGGATTCTCTCTAGTTGTCGTATAAAAGTTTTTCTTTTTTTCGTAATAATTTTAATCAAAATTGTGCAGAATCCGGGCAATTCGATTGAAATCTTGGCATCGGTAAAACAAAAATGAATTTTATTCGATGAAGACAGGGGATGACGCAAATTAACAGGACTTGTCGGGAGACGCTCGGTTGAAATAACGAATAAAGTGGCGAAATGGATTAAAGCAATATCCCGTAACAATTGTATAATCATGTGACGTATTTACGCTCAACGTAAATCAACTTACAAAGTTCCACATGCGAGCACATGCGGTAAGTATTGACGGTATCTTACCTGTTCGGGCTTCATCTCGTTTAGAGATCCTTATATGGCCGGCAACCTTCGAACAGGCTCACGTTTGAAAATACACAATTATTTATCTCCATTGTGGAATCATGTTGTGGAATTACGCAATCATGACGACTCTTGAAGTGGGTCAACGATTTTTCTGAATATAAAATGCGATTTTTTCCCTTTTTTTTTTTTCTTTTTATATTTAACTTGTCAATAAAATTAGATGTTTAATTTCTAAGAGAGCCATGTTTCGAAATTCTATGATGGAGATGAATCGAACACGATAATCGTAAATTCTAATGTTTCAGGATTGTTTAGATTTTTATATAATAAAAAGTATGAGTTAGATTGAATGAAAAAAAAAATAGAAATAGAATGTCGAAGAAAATTTTAATTGAAAGAAAAACGAAGAAAATTTGATTAATAAATGAATCGATATTAGAAAGTGGATCGTTCATGTTAAATAAATCTATGATAAATTAAAAGTGATTTATCGTTTAAGAGAAATTATTATACGATCGAGGAGAAAAAAATCTTTTATCAGAATTTTGACATCAATATGGAAACTTGTCAAACGAGGGACAATCTTTAAATGCAGTTCTCCTTGTGCTCGCGATCAAGGTGATTCGATTTAATCATATACGATTATTTCATTTCTTTTTTTTCGATTCGTGATAAAATATCTCTTTTATATTTTTATATATTTCGGTTGTCATATGACATTATTGAATTAAATTATAAATAATTAAAAAATTAAAAAGCACAATGTGTAATTGATCTGTAATTATTACACAGTAATTTGAAACTTCCAACAGGTGCAAAATTTAAACAGTTTCAAGCTTTGATATCAGCTCGATATCAATTTGATATTTATTCTCAATACTTGATTGATAGTTTTCTAAAAAATTGTATAGATTCAAATCTTTCTTATCATTTAATCGATAAGTAATATAAATGTAAACTTGAAAACTTATCGTTATATCGATAAATATCATCGATATTTATTCATAGCGATTGTTCAATCATCTTAATCATCTTATTACTGGCAAGAATTGTTATTAATGAAAAAATAATTCGTTTCAATTTAATAAAAATTGGCAGCTTCTTCATAATAGAAAATTTCTATCAAATAAATTGAATACAAATTGTACGATATTATCTATCTATATAAAATAAAATCTATGCAAAATATCATTATTAAAATTTTGATACATTGATTATAAAAAATTCAAAGAGAATTTCGAATTAATTATCTCGATTTATCTCGTCGATCAAATGAAAAGATATCGTTACTTCTCCAATCAAATGAAGAAGTATCGTTATTTCTCCAATCGTAAGTTGGTTAACAACGTTAATTCTACAGTCAATAAATTAATCTAAGTGTATTCTGTGTAACGAGGAAAACGATTTTGCTGGCGGCAGCATCTTGGAGAAGAGTAATTCCTTCAATTTACCCACTGGTTCATTGATAGCCAAGCCTTTGACCCATTTTTCATGACCGTGAACGAGCTAGAGAGCCATTAAAAGCGTCATTGTCACACAACTACTAGAAAGACACGAAACGATTCTTTAATTGCAGACATTTGCCCTGTTAACTGACGTATACTTATGTTTGGAACAGTCTAAAATTAGTAAGTATTTTTTTTGCAAAACATATAACTACAATTCTTTTTTAAACAATGATAAAAACATTAAAGTTAATAAAACTGAACATTTAAAGTCAGTCGATAAATTTTGTTATTATTAAATTGGATATAATATCATTTTTTAAATTTAAATTTCAAGTTTTCATTCATAAGTAAAAGATAAAAGTAATTTTTAGATATTTCGATTACTTATTGATAGATAGAGACGAAATAAAACTGGACATCGTCAATTTTCAAATTTCCTGAAATATCTAATCGAACAAAGATCAGTGATCAAATAGAATTATTTAAATCCTATCGATTATTATATCATTGATAATTGTATATTTTTTCATCGAAATATATCTATTAAATCTACTATCAATATAAAATTCTTCGAATAAAATAAAAATGGTGTCTAAGTTTGAGGAACGAGCATACTTTTCTAAAAAGACACACATCGGAAAGAGAAGAAAAATTATACCTGCGAGGATTCAGCTGCAATCCCGCATAATTTTGAATAGAATAAATTCCACACCACATCCTTCAAACTCTAAAACTTGTTTGAGAAGATCTTGGCTTCAATATTTTGTGTGGTATGTAATTGGGCAAACGTAACTTTCTTAAAATTTAATGCGACAAAAAATTATCGTGTCATTATCATATTCGATTATTTTTTTTTTCTATAAAATTAAAAAATTCTTCGTTATAATGTAAAATCGAGAAACAGAATGATCAAAGAATTAAGTTTATCAAAATTTAAAGTTTGAAAGTTTCTCTCATATTTATGGTAAATGTAATATCTATAAATGAAAGACACAACGATAATACATAGAAATATAACTAGGACAGAGAAAATCGCAAAGAAACTAATGATGTGTTCGCATGCAAATGGACTCACAAATGAGAATTACAAGCTTAGAAGACTCATCAATGTTATGATCTCGTATTAAGTAATCCGAAAAGCGCTTTTATAAACGCTAATCGTATTGCTCGATACCGTTTCTGTCTAGTTCTATTCGATCGGCCTAAATTGCTCTATCATTTCTTTAACGCATTTCTCACATATCATTTTTTTTTCACGTTAATGAAATTATCATGCGCTTACTTAATATCTAAATATAGAATTCGCATCGTGCTCTACATCGTGGGTTTATATCGCGAGATATAAAAGAGGAGATAGCGAAGTCCGCTGCTTCCGAATGTTATCATTGGATAGGACAAAAATTGTAGAGAAAAAAAACACTTGCAACGATAATAATTTACCTGTTATCATTTTTTAAACGTTTTTTACAAATTTTAATGAGAATTTTTATTATTATTATTTTTTTTTTTTTATGAAAAATATTCTCAGAGAAATGTAATATTTTATAACGCGTAATCTTTTGATACATTAATTCTTATTTGCCATTATTTATTAAATATTAAAAAAATATCTAAAATATCGTTATCGAACGATTATAGTAGAGAATTTTTTTTATGATAACAATGTTGTTTGAAAACATTGTTAAGAAAACGAAAAGCTAAGGCTTAGAATATGATTAATGATACTACAAACTAGGTATCTTTACATTGAAACAAAATAGGTTTAAATGGAAAAAAGTTTGCTTGTACACAAAAATATCGTTTCCTTTGTCTTCTAGATAATCCGTAATAACAAAATGAAAGACAATAAGATACGTTTCGAGGAAAAAGAATTTACTTCTAATTTAACGATCGTCATTATTCATATTAATGATATATTATAATTGCTTATGCATATATTTATTTCGCGAGGTGTCAACAGACTGAATGGTTTGGTGAAAGTGAATACTTTCAGCATGATATTTCTTCATAACAAAATTGCCTATTGTTTGTATATATATATATATACATATATTTCTTGAGTATAAAAAAAATTCGTCATTTTTGCAATTTAGAAATAATATTTTTGATATACTGTATAATATTATAGATTATTCAATAAAACTTTCTGTATACATAGTATATAAATTCAATTTAATATATTCTAAAATATATACATATAAAAAGAAAAAGAAAAATATCTGAGAAAATCGCATCTACGACTTAGCAAGACTACGAGAACTCATATATATATATATATATATATATATATACCTCCAGTATATTATTCTAATTGTATCGATCAAGAGACTGGTGAGTTTTACGAGGCACGTGAAATATATCACGATCAAGACACCGTATGGCTAACGGAATATGCATACTGCATCGGGATGAATACGACGGTCCATGCTTACGAACCTCTCCTTTTTAGGTAGCCTTTACGTGAATAACTGTGTGCCCATTACGCGTTCTCCACGGGCTTTAGGATACACAGAGTTCGTCGAGTTGTTGGCGTGCTCGTTCATAATCGCCTTTTATAAGATCGTGAACTCAGGAACGAGTTTCGTACTTAAAAATACGAAAGAATTCCTGAACTTTATTTTCAAGTTAGAAGATTTTTTTTTTCTTCTTGAGTCGAATTAAATTTCTTCTCGATTTATTAATGATCTTTTCTCGTAAACAGATAAGTATCTCGCGGATATGTATTGCATATTTTTTGAAAGAAATAAATTTTGAGAAGTTTATTGCCAATAGAAGAATAAATTGAAATATGTTTTCAATCTTTTTGAGCAATACAAAAACTGCTTGCATTCATGGACAAGATTTGCGAGATATCACGAAGAAACAACGAATGAAGTGTTTAAACAAGTTGGGTCAGTGACTCCAACCACGCTTGTGTCGCAGACCCTACAGGATGTGTTACTTGGATCACTGGCACATCGCATAATTAATAACAGGCAGTCGGTAATGGCTCGTGCCCCTTACTTGAAAGATCGACGTGAATCTCGTGAAATCTTCGTCGTGATAAAATATGGATTAAAATAACTAATTTTTCTTGTAATCTAAAGTATAATGATATATTAATAAAAATTTAGTTTTTTTTTCCTCTCTTAATTTTATTTTATTTAATAATTTCATTACAATAGAATCTTTCTGATTCATTTTAAGGAACAAACAATTTCTATAATTAAAATTCATTTAATAAGAATTCAGATAAGTATTCAGATAATTTTAGATCTAATAAATGGAGTTCAAATGGATAAATGAAATTTTACAGCCCTTTTATTATGTAAAGAAAACTTGACGATCTTTACTGATGATCATAAATGCATTTCTGTTACAGATTAACAGTAAATACAGCGAGGAATTGGCTCAAGAATGTTTGGAATGGATCAAAACGATCACTGGTGAGAATATAAATACTAACGGGGACATGGACAATTTCTATGAAATTTTGAAAGACGGAGTCCTTCTTTGCAAGTAGTTACGCTTTACTAAACAATATCAACAATTAATTTTCTTTCAATTTTTTGAGATAATAATTAATCATTATTTCTTTTTTTTTTTAGATTGGTGAATGATATTAAAGAAGGATCCGTGAAGAAAGTTAATAAGACCAGTTTAGCATTTAAATGTATGGAGAACATCAATGCGTTTCTCGAGGCCGCGAGAACATTAGGTGTCCCAGCCCAAGAGACCTTCCAAACTGTTGATCTTTGGGAAAGACAAAATCTCAATTCAGTCGTAATTTGTTTGCAATCTCTCGGTAGAAAGGTACATATGTATATATATATATATATATATA